CTACTCCATTGATCTATATGCCTATCCTTATGGAAGTACTACTGCTTTGCATTAAGTTTTGAAGTCAAAAAATGTGAGGCTTCCTACTTTGTTTTTCTTTTCAAGATTGTTTTGGCTATTCTGGATCCCTTCCAATTCCATATAAATTTTAGAATCAGCTTGTCGATTTCTACAAACAAGGAAAAAGGGGTCATGAATTCCAGAGCTGGGAGTTCAATAGGCTATTCATTTGGCCCTTGTTTGGTAGTGTTCTCAAGGTTCAGTCTAGATCAGGCGTTGGCAAACCGTTTCTGTTAAGCGTCAGATAGTATTTTAGGGTTTGTGGGCCACATGGTGTCTGTTGCAATTACTGAACTCAGCCTTTGTATGCAGGATGAAAGCAGCTATAGGCAACACATAACAAATGTGTAGCCGTGCTACAATAAAACTTTATTCATGAACACAAATATGTGTCACAAAATATTATTATTCTTTTCAACAATTTAAAAAATAAAAACCATTCTTAGTTCGCAGGCCATACAAAAACAGGCGGCAGGTCAGATTTGGCCTTCAGGCTCTGCTTTGCCATCCCCAGGTCTAGACCATCATATTTCCCTGTCTGGGTTCTGGACCATAGCCCCAGCTAGTGCAAATAACAACTTTGACTTGCATTGTCTCTTTGGCTTATTGCTGGGTTCACTGAATAAACGCAGTCAAAATTTCATGTCTTTGCCTTCATTTAAAAATGACACACATGCACATTCACATCTGTATCAATCCGGGTCCAACGAGACAGAAACCACACAATAATCTGAATGGAAATTTAAGATAAAGAATTATTATGCAATAATAGGAGAGTAACTGTAAAACCCCCAGCTGAGAGAGGGTATTAAGGAAGGATAAAGCTGGAAGGAAGGTTCCTTCTCCAAGGCTGGGGTTCAGCCCTCACTGGAGAAGTGGGTACAGTGAGCAATGGCAGCACCTCTGGCTTCTCAAATTTATCCTAGTCTCAGCGCTGATCATCACGCCTTCGCCTCTTCTTAAGTTTTCTCAGATTCCCTGCACCGTCTCTTCCAGCTCTTCAACCCCCAAATAATTCCTGTGCCAAAATATTCAGCAGAAAATCTGACCTGAAATGTTTTCACAATTTTATTAGTCAAACACACCTCCAATATTACAGAATTTATTTACGCTAAGATTTTTACAGGGTGGGCCCCTCTCTTAAAAGACAAATAAGCTTCTTTTGGTGGCAGTGTTTACTAGACTTAGGGGAAGGTACAGGCCCTGCTACTTTTACCCAAGGTCATTAGAACCGAAGAGAGGCAGCTCAAAAACTATTGTAAGTAGCATTAACATTCATAAAATTAAGCTCTCTTCCTCCCCCCGCCCCGCCCAAAAACTAGCTTTCTAGTTCCCAGAGGAAGTGGGAAGTAGAGAAAACGGGAACTGATGACTAGCAGCAGCGAGGGCTCTGCAGGGCCAACCCTGCCTCCGGGACCCGTCCTTGTGGTCCACAGCAGCAGCAAACGAGGGCGAAGCCTGTCCCTGTGCGTAACCTGGCTTTGTGAGATTTTCAGTCCTCAGCTGTTGCCCCAACACTCACACAGACATGGAATGCTTTAATCCTTTTTAGAACACTGGTGGATGGAACTCCAAGAATCTTGTTTCATTTTTTTAGGATTCTAGAATGTCATGTTTCAATCTGTCCCAAACTTCTCTTTAATTAAAGGACAGTTTGAGTGTTTGGCTATTCTCCAAAACAACTTCTAGATTACAATAAATGAATGGGGGCCCAGCCCAGTGGCATAGTAGTTAAGTTCACGCACTCCGCTTCTGGTGGCCCAGGGTTCGCAGGTTTGGATCCTGGGCACAGACCTACACACTGCTCATCAAGCTACACTGTAGCAGGTGTCCCACATATAAAAAAAAGTAGAGGAAGATGGGCACGGATATTAGCCCAGGGGCAATCTTCCTCAGCAAAAAAGAGGAGGATTGGCAACAGGTGTTGGCTCAGGGCTAATCTTCCTCTCACACGCACAAAAAGTTAACGAATAGGGTATACCCTTTCTTTCAAGGGAAGGTGCTGGTTTTCTTGAGGGAGCATGCTAAAAATTTTTCTCTCCCAGTGGCAAGCATGGGGAAGGCCTTGGGGTCATCCAGAATGTAGAGGGCCTATCACATCCCTCTTCGCACTCTAGAGATTACATACCCACATACACTTGTCCCTCTGTGGCTCCCAGTTCGGACCAGAAGCTAAGTGTTGGTGTTACAGGGGTAGTTCTGGCAAAGGAGCATGAGGGGAAATGTGGCCAAGGGCAGGGTCCACACTCGCAGCGCTCATACCTGCCCTCACCAGAGCTGACTCGGGACCCACTGGAAAACTGACTTCACGGCTGAGGGGGTGAGGAGAGGCCTTGCAGCCAGTGACTCCTTCGGACTCTCTTTCACTGCCCCCTCCTTTGGTGGGGTGTCAAAACCACTCTATGTTTTTTCTGATTTTCAAAGCCTGATGTCCATTTTGTGGACCTGGCAAACTCCAACTTGGCAAACAGATTTGCTAGAGCCTAGGCAGACCCTCTCCAGTAAACAGTTACTGGCCCAGGACATAGAAGTCAGAGCCTGGGCCTGCAGAGTTCTCAAAAATCTGGGCAATTTGGGCTCTGAGGGCGGAGGACTAGGAATGGGTGTAGCTAAAGCGCCAGGTCCTTGGGCTAAAAAACAATGGCCATGGTATGGCTGGGCTGTCTTGAACCAGTTAGTAGAGGGATGATGTGAGGTGTCATTAGCAGGACTAAACTCTCGGATTGGAGGACCAAGGAGGCATGACATTGGGTCTGGTGTTCAGGGGTCTTTAGACCTATGACCTGACATGGGAGCAGCTAAGAGGCCCAAAGCCATGATTCACGACTGGAGAACAGTTTGGGCCTGGTTAAAGGACCTGACCCTGGAATCTGGAAGGCTGCAGAGGGAGCATGCTTAAAAGGTCCCTGGAACTGGAGGACATGAACAGACCACTGAGGAACAGCCATGCTTTGATGGCATAGAGGAGGATTCATCGGAGACCTGCATAGAGATTAGAAGGAAGGAGAAAACCCAGGGAAGGGAGCTTTCACAGAAGTCAAAGGGAGTGATCAGTTAGAAGAGGCACCCCAGCCCCTGGAGACCTGGGAAGTTCCCTCTCTTCAGCTGGCGTGTCTTTAGACCTTAGACCATCCTCCCCACGCAAAGGCTCAGATTCCCCAATAAATCTAGTAGATTGATTTGAGACTTATTTTTTCTTAATGGTTGAATTAATGCAGGAAATCTATGTTGTGAATGTGAATTCCTTTCCAGACAGATGAGAGACTAAGGTACACAGCCTAAGCTTAGTAAAGATTTTACCAGAACAAAGGACAAGAAAACATGGGAAAGCATTGCTGTATTAAAATAAAACAAGTTGATCATTCTTAGATTACTGAAATAAAGCCTTCTACTTTTTTATTCCATCTGATTATAGAAAGTGGAAAACGTGTCTATTTAGTTGTTAGTGCCACCTTCACTCTCATACAGAGTATGGGGGGGGATCAAGACTTCTGAAACCCCCTCGGAGGCGCGTGAGGTAGTGGTTTGTGGTGGCAAGACTCTGTCTTCTTCTTCTGTCGAGGAGGGACATCAGGATAAAGCCCTACCCACAGACCCTGCCCCACGGGTCTACCAACCTGAGTGTGTCCTCTGGTGCAAGATAAGGTATGACTTACTGCTAAAGCATCTCAAAATCTTCCTCCCTCCCTCCCAAAAAAGCTGTTCTCTGATGTACACTGAGGTGTGCTTTTCCTAAGGCCTTGCCCATTCTCCCCACACACATAGACCTTCTATTCTATATACTCTGGGGTTTGTTGAGGGGTGACTTACAGCCAAAGCCTTGTCCACACCCCCTGTACACTTAAGATGCCTTAGATTGGATTCCCTGGTGAGATAGTGAGACAGAGAACTGAGTGGTTTATTGGGGAATGAGGGCAGGACTGGGCAGAGGAAGAAGCTGACCTGCAGTGTGTCTGCAACCAAGAGATCATTCAGTCCGATGGGCCCCTCTGGATCTGGGATGACCCTCTGGGGTTGTCCCAACTGAGTCAAGGGGTGGGGTCTTGTCTACTCATATCAATCAGTCATTGGCCAGGAGCCACCCCTCGGGAAAGTGCAGTTCCCGTGGCTGAGAGCAAGTCCTAGTGAGGAATTCATCTCTGCAGCCATCAGCGGCAGTTATCTGGAGCAGTGAGGGTGCTAACCTTAATAAGGTTATCTAGGCAGAGCTCCACAGTATCCCACAGAAGGATTCTCCCTGTGGCATGTGAAGAAGGCTGACAGATCCCAAGAGCCTCACCCACACTCCCTGCAAATATAAGGCTTCTAGTTTGAGTGTGTCCTCTGGTGTTTGATAAGGTCTGACTTCTGGCTAAAGCCTTGCCCACACTTCTTGCACAAATAAGACTTCTCTTCTGGGGCCGGCCCGGTGGCGCAAGCAGTTAAGTGCGTGCTCTGCTGCGGCAGCCTGGGGTTCGCTGGTTCGGATCCCGGGCGCGCACCGACACACCACTTGGCAAGCCATGCTGTGGTGGCGTCCCATATAAAGCGGAGGAAGATGGGCACGGATGTTAGCCCAGGGCCAGTCTTCCTCAGCAAAAAAAGAAGAGGATTGGCAGATGTCAGCACAGGGCTGATATTCCTCACCAAAAAAAAAAAAAGACTTCTCTTCTGAATGTGTTCTCATGTGTCTGTTAAGGTTGGACTTCTGGTTAAGGCCTCACTCACACTCCTTGCACACATATAGCTTCTCCCCTGAATGTGTCCTCTGGTGATTAATGAGGAGTTACATCAGGCTGAAGCTTCAGCCACACTCACTGCACACACGAGGCTCCTCAGTTGAGTGTGTCCGATGGCATCTGATGGAAGCCGACTTATCTTCAAAGCCTCGCCCACACTCTCTGCAAACATAGGGTTTCTCCCCAAGGAGGGTGGTCTGGTCTGTAATGAAGTTTGATCTCGGGCCACAGTCTAATTCACGCTCTCTACAGTTGACTGCTCCAGATCTCGAGGTTTCTAATTCCATCAATCCTTTGTCTGGTTGCACAGGATTTACCCTTTGGACTGACGTGGGGTCTATTTCTACCACCCTGGTGCCTTCTCTAGGACTTGCTGACTGTCCACAGCAGGGGCCAGAGAATGAGCCTGAGGTCTCTCTCCTCTGTCCCCGTACACAAGAGTTTGGAACTGCCTTCTCTCTCTTGCCCTTCCGTGTTTTCACTGAGCAGAACACTGCTGCTCCTGAGGCTCCAGGCCAGAATCCCCTGGATGGAAGTGATTTTCCACACATAAACTGGGGAAGATCTGAAGCACACGCTGGCTGAGGAATTGCTGACAGGGGAAGGCCAGAAGGCAGGAGGAACATGGGTGGATTCCTGGCTTTGGTTCTGCTGGAGGGAGAGTTTCCAGTTAAAGAAGCACTAAGTGTGGCTGCCTGGCTGTTCCACCTTGTCTTAGGAGAGAGTGTCTTCCTGTCACACCTGTAAATGACCACATGTGTACAACCTGATTTGTTTCCCACCAATAATGCCTTTACATTCCATTTCTACACATTCCATTTTCCATTGCGATCCAGAAAATCCACACCAAAAACATCTTCTACATGTCAGACTAGGAACCTTTCAAGTAAGCAGTCTGCTCTGTAAGCAACTTCAATTACCCTTAGCCTTTCTTTCTACTACATCATCTAAGCCACTGACACCCAGATTGACATATACTGTCCACAACTCTGTTCTACTCGGAGGTAATAGTCTCTGTGACCTATGTGAAAATCTCTTTTATGACTTTTCTTATTACAAAAAAGGAACTGAAACATGTAAAAACTCACTCAGTCTGGAGGGCTTCCAAACATAGAAGACAGTATACAAAACAGTGGTTGAAGAGACTGCATATGAAATAAATCTGAACTTCAGGGTGCCCATCTGTAAACAAATACTTATTAGAAATTTCTAAGTGCGAGGTCCTCTACCAAGTATCGTGGATTCAGCAGTGGACAAGAAAGTCATGGTCCATGATTTCCGGATTCTGGCACCTTGTGCCCAAACCAATCCATCACAATGACATCAGACTTGGCTACTGGATTTGCTTTAGCCAAAGAAGGTTAGTGAAAAGTTAGTGCCCCTTTCAAACAAGTTTTAAGAGGCACAGTGTGGTTCCATCATTGCTCTTTTCCCCTCTCCCTTAAGAACCCCATGACCCAGATAGAGGCTCTTCCTTTTGCCTGGATTCCAGAACCAATAGAGCTGAACCACACCTGAACTGTAGGTAACAGGTAATATAAGAAATGAACATCTGCTATTATAAGCCACCAAAGTTTGGGATTGTTTGTTATCACAGCATTACCTGGCCTAGGCTAACTGAAATATCTCCCTTATGAAAGCTTTAAAGATTATTTTGGGGGAAATTGGCCCACTTATTTATTTATTTATATTTTTTTGGTGAGGAAGATTGGCCCTGAGCTAATGTCTGTTGCCAATCTTCCTCTTTTTGCTTGAGGAAGATTGTCCCTGAGCTAACATCTGTGCCAATCTTCCTCTATTTTTCACGTGGGACTCCTCCACACCATGGCTTGATGAGTGGTGTGTAGGTCCACACCCAGGATCCGAACCTGCGAACCCCAGGTCACCAAAGTAGAACACACAAACTCAACCACTACGCCACCAGACTGGCCCCAGCCCATTTATTGCTAACAGTACCTTTGAAGAAGAGACATGATAGTTGAATATGTGAAGAATTAGAGAAAACAAGATTGGTCTAGGAGGAAAAATAGTATGATCTCAATTTTTGATAAGTTTGAGAATAAACTTGTGCTGTCTTGTAACCAAACAGAAATATGAGGATAAAGCACAAGTGAGACAGTGACAGAGAAAATAAGTTCATCATACTATGGGATAGGCAAAATCACTGAAGTTCACAAATTGTTTAAGGGTGTGAATATAGACACAGGAAAAAAGCATATGTGACACTAGTCCTGTGGATCCCTAGTGCAAAGAAAAGAGAAAAAAGTAACAGAAAAGCCCAAAAGAGAGACATAAGAGGCTGCAGAACTGCAAAATATCACGGTGCTGAGCAAGAACAAAGGTAACAATTTCAAGAAATGCAATTGGGATCCAGGCTTTCAATATCGAGACTAATCTGAACCAGGGCATTTTAACATTTTCCTCTGAACCCATTAAATGTATTAAGATAGAGAAAGAGAATAATATGATCAGAGAAAAAGAAAAACAAAAACAAAATCTAGATAGATTGACTAGCTAAGGTCAAATCAAAACACACATAACCAGATTGAAATGAATGAAGCCATATTTAATTACATGGAGCTCAAACTACATGCAATCAGATCAAAACACGTCAAAGAAGATGAAAATGGATCAAAGTAAATCTGATTAATTCATATCAGGGAAACAGCCATGCCATTTAAGGAAACTCCTGCCTGAAACTAGTTTGTCTCTCTAAAAATGTGGTTCTTCTCTATATGCTTTATCTAGAAATATAGGAATGGCTAGAACTGCGTTATCCAATAATGTAGCCACTAGCCACATTTATTGAGCACTTGAAATGTGGCTAGCCTGAACTGAAATGTGCCGTAACTGTAACTGAACTGAAATGTGCCGTAACTGTAAAATACACACCAGATTTTGAAGACTTAGTACCAAAAAGAGTAAAGCATCTAATTAATTTTTATATTGATTACATGTTAAATGATAATATTTTGATATGTTAGGTTAAATAAAATATATTATTAAAATTAATTTTACCCATTTATTTCTACTTCTATTTGTGTGTGTGAGGCACACTGGCCCTGAGCTAACATCTGTTGCCAGTATTCCTCTATTTTTTGTTTTTTGCTTGAGGAAGACTGTCACTGAGCTAACATCTGTGCCAATCTTCCTCTGTTTTGTATATGAGATGCGACCACAGCAAGGCTTGATGAGCAGTGTGTAGGTCCATGCCCAGGATCTGAACCCGTGAACACTGGGCCACCAAACTCAACCACTACACCACTGGGCCGGCCGCTATTTCTACTTTTTTAATATGGTTACTAAGAAATTTAAAATTAGTCACATGGCTCACAGAATACTTCTACTGAATAGCACCAATCTGGAACAACTATGAAAACGAGGGCCTACAAGCTAAATCCAGTACTGTCTGTTTTTGTATAGCCTACAAGGTAATAATTGTTTTTAAATTTTTAAATGGTTGGAAAAAAGCCAAAAGAATAATAATGTCTCATGATACATAAAAATTATATGAAATTCAAAATTCAGTATACACAAAGTTTTATTGGAACACAGCCTTGCTCATTTGTTTACGTATTGTCTACGTCTATTTAGCACTACAAGAGCAGAGTTGAGAGTGGTTTCCGAGACCATACTGCTCACAAAACCTAAAATAGTTACCATCTGGCCTTTTACAGAAAAAGTTGGCCAACCCCAGATCCAGAGGAATGTCTCAATCGCAAGTATTTTTCAACCTAGGTTTAAAGAATCAATGTAAGTTTTTAAATAAAAGAAAAAGAGGGGCCAGCCCAGTGGCCCAAGTGCTTAAGTGCGCGCACTCCGCTGCGGCGGCCCGGGGTTTGCCGGTTCGGATCCCGGGCGCGCACCAACGCACCGCTTGTCGGACCATGCTGTGGCGGCATCCCATATAAAGTGGAGGAGGATGGGCATGGATGTTAGCCCAGGGCCAGTCTTCCTCAGCAAAAAAGAGGAGGATTGGCAGATGTTAGCTCAGTGCCGATCTTCCTCACAAAACAAAAAAAAGAAAAAAATATGGTTTATGAAACCCAAATCTATACAAACGTTGACATTTAATTTTAACTTCTGTCACAGAAGGCTTCTCTCACTACTCGCCCCCTTGCAAACTGTGCCTCCAGTCTCAATGGCTTTCTTGTGGTTCCTTACACTGGGCAGGCACATCCTTTCCTTAAGGTCTTAGCACCAATGATTCCCTCCACCTGAAATGCTCTTACTCTACATACCTAGAGTTCTAACTCCCCCACCACATTATGTCTTTGGTCAAATGTTACCTCCTTGTGGATTTCAAATACCCATTTTTAAAATTCAGCCATTGGGGCTGGCCCGGTGGTGTAGTGGTTAAGTTCGCATGTCCCACTTCGGCGGCCTGGGGTTTGCAGGTTCAGATCCCAGGCGTGGACCTATGCACTGCTTGTCAAGCCATGCTGTGGCAGG